ACTTATTATTGACTGTAGTCACCCTGCTGTACAGTAGTCTCAAAACCCATTCCTCATGCCTGTTTGAAACTTGGCACCCCTTGCTCGAGAGTGAAAACACTTTTCATTTCCTTTTTCTTTTCTTTGAGATGGGTCTCGCTCTGTTGCCCAGGCTGGAGTACAGTGGCACAATCCTGACTCACTGCAACCTCTGCCTCCCAGGTTCAAGTGATTCTCCTGCGTCAGCCTCCCAAGTAGCTGGAATTACAGGCACCCGCCACCACGCCGAGCTAATTTTTGTATTTTGTATTTTTGTATTTTTAGCGGAGACTGTGTTTCAGCATGTTGGCCAGGATGGCCTCTATCTGTTGACCTCATGATCCGCCTCAGCCTCGCAGAGTGCTGGGATTACAGGAGTAAACCACCGTGCCCGGCCAAAAGCACTCTCCCCCATCCTCTCCCCCTTCCCCTCCCCCTCCCTATTCCCCTCTTCCCTTCCTCCTCCCCTTCCCCTCTCCCCTTCCCCTCTCCCCTCTCTCCTTCCCTTCTTCCCTTCCCCTCTTCCCTTCCCCTCTCCCCTTCCTCTTTCCCTTCCCCTCTCCCCTTCCCCTCCCCTCTTCCCAGCACAGGGTACAAGAGTTTATTTAACATCTGAATTTACTTCTATTATGTTGACCCCATGTTACAAGTTCCATGTGGGTCCATTACAACTCGAACCACTCCTGCCAAAAAGGGAAAGAAAATTTAAAAAGAAATTCCACAACTTTTTCCATGTCATTAAATATATTCATATTTATACTAACCATATATTAGTATGCATTGGAAAGGAACACTGACCCAAACAATACATCATGGTCACAACTAAACATTTACAATTCTGAGTGAACAGAAATTCAGAACACAGTAGGGGGTTAAGGGAGGAGGGGAAGTGCATTTGGGGGCAGGGAATGGGAAGAAACGTCCAATGACAGGAGTGGGACTGGTTTGGCTTTTGGCAGGGGGCAAGGCCCCACAAGTACACATTTTGATACCCCTAGGTATGCTGTGGCTGTGGCCCACACAAATGTCTTATCCGTGGACTGTGGCCCAGTGACCCCATCAATGAGTCAGGTTTGTCCACTCTCTGGGCTTCGAGGGAGCTTCCTTTAAGTGTTGAGAGCCTAAACCTCTTTTACTTCCCGGAAAGCAGGAGCCAGCACATTTCTAATGTTGACTTATCCACATTTGTTGTACTCATAATTCCTAAATAGGACAGTGAAATAAAAGAGCCAGAAATATCATCAGAGCATCTGAAACTTTGCCCCTGACATCTCTTTTAGTGATCTTTCTGAAAAACAGAATCAGAGAAAGAATAAAGAGCGCCATCTACATGGCCCCATGATGGCCGTGACTGAGGCTGAATTGAGGATCAGAAGTAACCAGGTTCTTCTGTGAGCTCTATGCACCTCCAGTGTGAGCAGGATAACTTTAGTCAGACACATTATTATAATTTAATAATTACACGGTTTATTTTAAAATGCTGAAAGAGGGTCTGGGTGTGATGGCATACGCCTATAATCCTAGCTTCTGGGGATGCTGAGGTGGGAGGATTGCTTGAACCCAGGAGTTAGAATCCAGTGTGGCAAATATAGTGAGACCACTTTTTTACAAAAAATATGAAAAAAGTTAGCTGAACGTGGTGGTGTGGGCCTGTAGTCCTTAGCTACTGGAGTGGCTGAGGCAGGAGGATTGCTTGAGTCCAGGAGGTCAAGGCTGCAGTGATCATACCAGTGCACCCCAGCTCAGGCAACAGGGCAGGACCTGTATCTAAAAATAATAATAAATTTAAAAATACATTGTTAAAAGAATACAGCATATGACCTCATGGGTATTATCACTTGGGATGAGGCCAGAGTTGGTAGCAAGCGTTATGAATGAGTTGACTTAAAGAAAACATGAGGCAAGTGACAGAACAGCTGGAGGCAGGAGGGCCGCTGTGAACACGGGGAGTGGCTCAGGTTTGGGAACCACAAAGATGGGAAGGGACGGGAGAGTACAGAGCTGATCCTGAAGAAAGCTGACGGTTATTAAGCTGTCATGTGTTGGGCACTGTCCTGAGTGTCTTACCTTGTGTAACTCACTGTGAATTAGGCACTGCTGAGGATTGGAGAGGTTAAACACAGCTAACAAAAAATAGCCAAGCCAGAATGTGAACCCAGGTAGCCTAACTCAAGAGCGTGAACTCTCATCTCTGCACTCCACTGACTTTCCAAAATAAAATAACAACAAGAGCCAAGGCCCACCCAAGACCCAGCTCTGCATATCAGTGCACTGACAGTCCCTGACCGCGTCTGCTTTCAGGTTTCTAAAAGGGACCAGACATGGAGAGGCACCTTCAAAGGCAGTGTATGTTGGCGCGGATTTGCTGTGTGACCTTGAGCTATCTCTTTCCCTCTCCATGGGTTTGGCTTCTGTGAGCCCTCTCCCTCGGATCACCCATGGCTCTACTCCATGGAAACCACCCCTTGCTTGGCTTGAGGCAGAGGCCCCAGGTTCTGTAATGCCCAGTAGCATCTGATACTAGGGAGACTTCACAGTAGTAGCAGCAGGAGCTGAGGGTGCCCACCTTGCCCTCCCCAGGTCCTGTAGGCTTTCTGGGCAGGCTGAGCTCTTGGGGCCAAATCCCAGCAGCCCCGGAATGCCACTGAAGAAGTTAAGCCAGGGGACAGCACAGTCAGATTGGGTTTTGAGAGGGTTACTCTGGCCAATGGGTGGAGAACAGATTGGGCAGCAGCCAGGGTGAAGTCAGAGAGCTCAGGAAGGTACCAGTTACGGCCGTTTAGGCAGGTGTCCTGGCCTGCAGAGGCTGTGATAGAGATGTCTTGCACGTGTGGTCGGGCAGTATTTGAAGGTAAGCCTGGGAGGAACATGATGCTCACGTAGCAGCTGTGCTAGGAGACGCTGGCTTTCTGGCTTGCTGCCTGGCATGCACCTTCCTTTTGGGTGAGGAGGAGGAGTGGTAAGAGCACTGCTAGCTGTTGCATCCCTCATTCTTACTGCTTATCCTGGATAGAGCACCACAGGCTTCTGCTGACTGAGGCGGCTGTTCCTCTTAAAGGGAGGGCAGGACTCCACTCCAAGTCTGCTGGAAAAAGGATTGCAAATCAATGCAGGCTGCTCTGGACGGAGGGGAGTGGGGGAGTGAGGACTCTGTGAGACCAGTCCATGCAGCGACTTTACTGAGCCTGATCTGAGCTCTGCTGAGCAAGTGAGTTGTCCCTGACCTTTAGGCTGGGAACCGCTTCTCAGTGGTGGGAGTTGGTGGCCCTTGGCAGTGTGGTGACTGGCAGCGGAGGTGAAGGTGACCCTGGGATGGAAGGAGGCTTTGGCGTACCTCAGCAAGCTGGCGGGGGCCCTTTCTTTGTATACCTTGGTGATGGGTGTATTGCTTGTTGCAAAATACATTGTTTTATCTCATCATTTGAAAGAAAAGGCCAAAAAGCAATATTTTTGGAAAGGAAGAAGAAAGAAATGTGACCAGAGGGCAGCCTGCTGGGTAGTTAGTTAGGTAGTGGCTCAGCCTTGGTGAGGACTGGGTTTGCCTCTGCACACAAGTCCACAGCCATAGTCCCCACTCTCAACCCATTATGTCAGTGGAGGTCCAGGCAGAGACAGGCCACCTCGTCCTTGCTCTGTCTGGCCCTGTAGCCCCTTGTGGAGCAGGGGACCCTACTCTGGCCTTGGCAGAGACCCCACACTGCTTGGGCTGCAGGTGCTCTGGGGATAGGAACCTGCAGTTCTGGCTCCTATGAAAGGTACTTAAGGAGCTCCAGGATAGGTTCCTAGCTCAGGCTCTGTTTCTCCTCCCCTGATGTCCCCTACCCACCTCACTTCCCCCTGCCTGGGCCAGGGCCTGAGGAAGAGCCAGTGTGCGCTGCCTGCATGAGTTCTGGGCTACACTTGTCCCAGGCAGTCCAGGAAGTGGCTGCTCCCTTCCGTCCTGCCATCCATCTGTCATTCCAGTGTCTCATCCAGGCACTCCCAGAGGGTAGGAATAAGTATTTTGGTAAGGATTTAATAAGACCAGATTTCGTGTAGGAAGAGAGGTTTGTGAGTTGTCTTGGGCCACATTGGCAATAACAAGAGGGAGCCACTGAAGGTTTTTGAGCAGGAGAAGGGCACAGTCTCTTGTGGAATAATCAGTCTGCTGTGTAGAGGAGGGCTGAGAGCCAGAAGCAGGGCAAGGAGGCTGCTGTGACAGGGCCAGAGCCTTTGCTGTGGGGATCACAGTTTGTGATTGTGCATGAGTTGTTCACATTTGAGGACAGGGACCATGTCTGCTTCACTCACCAGTGTTTTACCCAATGCCTAGCCTGTGCCTGCTTAAAGCAGACAATAAATAAACATGTACTGAATGCTGTGTTCATTATTTACTGGCAATGCCTGTGGGGTAGTCACAGGCATGGAGATATGAGACTGTCACGCCTAAATGAGCTGTGATGCTCACAGCACCTGCCAGGAAGGTGAGACAGGAATCCTCTTTACCGTGCAGCTGAGTGGGAACTGATGCCCTGAGCGATGTCTTGTCTGCGATCTAGCTGATGACAAGGCTGGGACTAGGGGCTGGAACACACATCCTGGATTCTGTGCACTACATCATTGCATCCCTTACTCAGGCCCAAAGCACATGGCCACCTTAAGGACTAACCCTGCTGCCTAAGCAGGCCAGTCCAGACCCCAGACCACTCAGACTCAGCATCTCCTGCCTGCATCATGCGTTATTCAGGCCTTCCTTTGGCATGGGAGCTTGCCAGGGAAGCACGTCTGTCTTAACATGTGCAGAGGCAGTGGGCAGCAAGGGCCTGATGTGTTCAGGGCTGTAAATGGAGGCCAGTGTGGCTGGGGGTGGGGAAGTAGGAGGTTTGTGCCTGAGTCTTACTACTCATTTCCTGTCCCCACGACATGAACAGGACCACTGGTAGGTTCACTTTGCCTCTGCTAAACAAAAAGCTCTAACCCTTCTTTCCCCTACTCTGACCCAGCACCTACACAGAGCCCTACAAAGTCTGTCCCATCTCATCGGCAGCCCCTAAAGAGGACCTCACGTCGGATGAGGAGCAGAGAAGCTCAGAGGAGGAGGATAGTGCTTCAAGAGACCCCAGCCTCACCCACAAGGTAGGGAACCCCACAGGTGGGCCATGGCATCAGAGATGTGAATGTGGAGAGATGGCTGTAACAGATCTGCTCCTTCCCTTGGTGCAGAGGGAGCTCTTTGCAGACAACTGGCCGCAGCTGGATGCAAGGGCTGAGACACTTAGCATTGGGGTTCTAGGAAGCATTGCCTTCCGGGGGCCTGCCTCGGTGGTGCTGGGGCCATGGCTCCTGCCGGTATCCACTGGAGTCTGATGAAGTTTGGGGCTTTCTGGAGCCTTTGTGGATGATGTGGAATAGAGCTGCCTGGTTTGAATGAAGACCAGCCTAGATTCTAATGACCTTGGACACCCTGGACCTCAGTTTCCTCATCTGTGAAGTGGAAATCATGAGGGTGAGATGTGTTAAAGGCTGTAAGGGAGTTTTGTGAACTGAAAATAGTTTTAGATGAAAGCTGGTTTCCCTGGCCCTGCAGCAGTGCTGTGAGAGGACAGAGCTGCTGGAGGGAGGTTGTTGTCTAGAGGCTGATGGTGAGTTGGGGCCACGTCACAGTGAAGACCCAGACCTCATTGCTGGGCACAGGTTCATCAGTGCTGATGGGGGTAATATGTGCTCTCTGTTGGACACTCACAGTGAGCTGTCCTTCACCCACTCACTGACAAAGTCCCAGCCTTTCCATAAATCCCTTCTAGGAGTCATGAATCCCTTCCCACAATGTACATTTGCAGAAATGGGCAGAGGTGAAGAACTGGCCTCGGGCACATGGCTGGGAGGTGGCATCCCAGGAAACGTCACAGGCTGATATGGGGCTCAGGCATTTGTTATGCAGGGAACACGACCACTGCAGGGGAATGGGCTAGGAAGGGTGAAATGCCCCCACTCCACCCCACCCATCTTCTAGGCCATGCCTGCATGTTGAGGGGTGACTGGAGAGGCAGAGAGTGCAGCGCTCCCTTCCCCCTTTCCCAGCAGACCTCAGTACCTTTTCCTGTACCTGCCTCCCACTCTCCATCATCCTCCCGTTCCAAGCCTAGGTTAGTTTTGCCACATTGATTAAAGACCATTGTAAGTGGATGCACTCAGCACAGGTGCCTGACACCAAGCACTGGCCAAATGAGATGTCTCATTTTCTTTCCACAAAGGTGATTTCTTTTAAAAACCCACTGATCTCTCTGGACTGAATTTTCATAAAGTTATCTGCCAAGTGCTACAGAAACCCTGAAGAGGTAGTTACTCCACTCCTTTCCTGCCTCTTCCCCCGCAGCCCCTTCTCCCTGCAGCTGCTCCTTCACACCCTCCCTGTCCACTCCCCTCTCACTTGTCTCCCTGCTGTCTCTTCCTCTCTAGGTGCTGAGCCATGTGCCTGGCACTGTCCTGAGGCTGTACATGTTTGTCATCTCTTTGACTCCTTACAACAACTTCAGAGTTGGCACCATTATCCCTGGTTTTGCAGTTGAGGCACAGAGGTTCTGAGAGGTTAAGTAACTTGCCCAAGGCCACACAGCTAGTGAATGAAGGGGTCAGGTCTCAAGCACAGCTCTGGCTGGCTCCAAGTCCAGGGTTGCTCATCTGTCACTGCAGGCCTTCTCTGATCTCCCCACCCCTCCTCCTCTCCCAAGAAGGAATGTTGTCTCCTTGCGGGGAAGGGAGGAGAGCCTTGAGTTAGTGGTGCCCATTTAGAGATGATTTTGGCTTTTCTGGGCATCCCTGAGGTCATGGAATCTTGCAGCAGAAAGAGATAGTTGCTATCAGGGATTTGGTCCCCACCCTGAAACCAGGAATCGGGTACCAGTGCGAGAACTTTGGAGGGCTGATGAGCAGTGGAGCCCACTGTGTGCAGCTCTCTATACCTCAGGGTCCCCCCCTTGTGATGTACCCCACCACGGTCACCGAGTTATCTGTGAAACCCTCCTCTGGGATGCCCCACATCTCTTCCTCTGGCTGCGTCACTGCGGGCCAGTCATTCCCTGTCTCTGAAATGAGAGCACTAGTAGTCACTGCAGGGCTCTGGGAGGGTTGAATGAGAGCACAAATGTGAGAGCGCCAGCCATGCGGTAGGGGCGTCATAATTATCTATTGTTTCTGAATCAGAGAGGCAGAGGGGGAGTATGGGAAGGGAGGGCCTGTCATGCTGAGGACCATTGCGTGGGTCTGAATGCACAGCTCTGGGGCCCTGGATATTGCTGTTACCCAGGATCTGGTCTCCAGGCCCCTGCTTAGACATCCCCAGGAATAAGGAGCTGGCAGGAGGTACGGCAGTCTAGGGACTAAGAAGTTCACACCCAGCTTTGCCCCTTGCTGGCTGAATGACTTGGGCAACTTCCTGACCATTCTGCTCCTAGGTTTCCCCATCTGTAAGGTCACGATAGCAGTAATAGTACCTGCTTCAGAATAGTTACAAAGGTAAATGAATCTCAGGAGACCTAGAACAATGCTTGCCACTCAGTAAAAGAGCGTGCAAAGGTCAGAGCTTTTGATTGAGACTGGGAGCCTGATCAGGGAGGCAGCCTGCCCAAGTTCATCCGGGACTCAGCAGTGACATGCTGAGGTCACAAGGCTGAGGCAGCCCTGCCTTGGACAGAGACTTCATGGGTCCTACAGGAACCAGAGCCAGGCAGAGCCTGTGGCCAGCCAGAGCAGGGCCAGAGTCAGAGGCAGGAGCATCCGCCTCTGGATGCTCCAGATCTGAAGGATCTTCCTGAGTCTTGGTTGTTGCCATTGGGCCAGTCCCCAGCTGGGGTTAAACACCACCATGTACTTTCTCTGTGCTATGGACTTCTAGACCTAGGGGCACAGCTGCACGCTGCACACTGCATGCTGGCTCCACTGCAAATGGTCATCCCAAGAGCAGGGGAGAGGGGGTGTGCAGGTCTAGTCTCGTCTTTCCAGCAGGTCAGTTCACTCTCCGGAGTCCAGATTTCTCATCTGCCGTAGGATTGGACATCCCTGCCCTCCTCCCCCTCATTCTTCTTTATGAAGCTTGCATTATATACCAGAGTTGAAGTCAAAACCTACACTTTCATTGCACAAGGCATGCTCTACCAGATTCTCCTTGGAACATGTAAATCATTGCAGATGAGGGTGAAAGTCCCGCTGGACTCTCATTCCTATTCCTAGTTCCTTTAAACACACAGGGTATTGTTTTGTGGATTTTTTTTACATATGTGATATCAAACTATAAGAAACCTGGAGTAACTTAGTTGGGTTCCTTCAGTAATATCCCAGAGGTATTCCCACATTGGTGTATAGAGTTCTAAGTTAAATGTTTTTCTGGCTGCATAGTATTCCATTTTCCAGATGTGCTGTGGTTTATTTAGCCATTTCCTCACTGCAGGACTCTTCCAGTGTTTCTAGTTCCATCAGCATTGCAGTGACCTTGTTCACACACCTTTTTATGTACATAAAAGATTTTCTAGAGGGTAGATCCCAGAAGGCAATCAGTGGACCAGAGAGCAGGCACATTTTAAATCTCCATATCCACTGCCTTGTAGCCCCCAAGAGGCCGCGACAGCAGACTCCCTGGCCACCTTTGGTGCCCAGAGCTCCCCAACCACTGAACCATTGTGGAGATGGGAAGGGAGGTTTCCCAAGTGAGTGATCTTCCCCAGCTCTTTTCTGCAGGAGGATATTTGGTAGAGTGGGGTGGGGAGAAGGGTCATTTCTCCATCCTCACTGGTCCTCTACTGTAGCTGAGAATTCAGTTTCTCCAAAAGGCAAAGACCTCTCATCTCCAAGCCTCAGTCACATTGTGTGGGACATGGGAGCAATTTTCCATCTCCACCACCTCAGAAGAGCAGACCAGGGAAGGTGCAAGTGAGGAGTGGTGTCACCCCGTGGGCCCGGGAGGTGCGTTTGGAGGTGCAGTGGTAAGCCCTACCATTCCTGGATGTTTTGGGGCAGCCAAGTCAGGAAAGGAGAGGTTTTGGGAGCAGGACAGGAGACTGAGCCCCACTGGTCCACCCACATATCTGACCTTTCCTCATTCCCACTCATAGACACACAAAGGCCGTAGGTGGAAGGAAAGAGGGAGGGAGAGATGGAAAGTGAGAGGGACTTAAAAATAGCACTCCTTGTGAAAGGAGACATTCAGAGACTGGCTGGCGTGTTGGTCCTCCCTGACAATGAGCCTAGTGGGGACATTTCAAGCTAAATACCAGCTCCTCTGAGACCAGCTCAGCAGCCAGCGGCCCCTCCCAGGGACCCCCCTCCCTCGCCTGAGTCTCGTGGCCACATTTGTTTCCCAGTCTGGCCTGTCTGTGGAACAGACCCTTCCTGTCGTCATGCCCTCTGTGGCAGGTCTGCTCCTGCCCAGCCAGGCCCCATGCCCAGAGCTCTGTGCTTGCCAGGCTGGCCGACCCATGTCACCAGTCCTTGCACCTGCAGCCTCACCTTTAACATCTGCCCCCAATTAAAGGATCTTCCTGAGCCTTGGTTGTTGCCATTGGGCCAGTCCCCAGCTGGGGTTAAACACCACCATGCACTTTCTCTGTGCTATGGACTTCTAGACCTAGGGGCACAGCTGCACGCTGCACGCTGCATGCTGGCTCCACTGCAAATATTTGCTTTGCTTCTCCTTGGCCCCGGGGAAGGGGCTCTGAACCACAGCCTGTACTTCCCACTCCCAGAAAACAGTACTCATCTCCTAGTGAACGTGAACTTTCTCCACTGCCTGCCTCTCTTCTCTCTGCATCTTCGCTCAGTTACTCCCAGTCCCTCCTTTTCTTCCACAGAAACTTATGTATTCAGTAAGTATGTACTGAGCATCTACTCTGTGCCTGGTACCCTTTCAAGGGCTGAAGATATAGCAGTGACCAGTCAGACCAGGTCCTTGCCTACCCTGCTGGAGTTCCACATTCTAGAGAAGGGGATGGAAGATCCCTTAACTGCACTGCACACTTAAAAATGGTTACAATGGTGGAATTTATGTTATGTGTATTTTCCCACAATTTTTTAAAAATGGAAAAATAGGGTGCTCTGTGTTTAGGATGCCCCCACCCCCAATCCCAGGAGCTCTGTTCCCCACA